TTACAAAAACTTTAGCACATGTAAAATATGTAAATGCAATAAAGTCACAAAAGCACTTTAAAAAAGAGCAAGATTAAAGCTGCATCTACATAACTTGAGAAAATAATATAAACTGTTATCCTGGAATCTAGCACTACAGTGTGCTACGCCGGTGCAACTATGGCAGAATAAGTGGTGGCAGATTGGTGAAAAAGGCTCCTGGCACAGCAGCAGTGATGGGGATCCCATTTCCTACTCTGGTGCTGGAGTGGCCAGATAACGCGAGAGCCGATTATCACAGCAGCCATGAAGGAAGTTATGCCTTGGAGAAACAGACAGCTTGGAGGCAGCAAATTTTTATCTGCCTTTGCTTGCCCCTTGTGTGATCTTGGAAAAAGTGCCGCCACCATTTGTCTAGCATTAAAAAAGATAACTGGGTGTTATGAGCAGCACCCCAGGAATAGGTATGGGACAAGTTATCTTTCTCCTTCCTTTTTTCCTTTGTAGAGGGGTAAGGAAATGTGTAAATGAAGAGTTGGTGCTAAGGCACAAAATGTTCGTCTGGAGGGCCAGTATGATCCCCCCCTCCCCAGGTTTCATTTTAAAACAGACTGCATACTGTTCTTTGGGCTCTTTCTACCTACAATCACAGAGAGAGAGAGAGGGGCTGAGTTTTCCCCATTAGCACAGCAAGCCTCAACACAACAGAAGAGGAAAGTGCCTCTTTTTCTTCTTTTTCCCCATAATGCAAAAACATAATGGAGACTGGTTTTATACATCTTAATCTAAACTATATTCCAGTTGTAAAAGTTCTGTCTCTCATCCTGCAGCAGGATGTTACAATGTGGGGCCTCTTCAATCCCTACATAGGAACCAGTTGCATCACCAAGTATAACAGACTTTATCTGTGGGAGAGCCCAGCTGTTCCTGCCAATGCTGGGGAAAGTGCGGCCCTCAAGATCTCTTGACTCACTGTAGGTTGTTAAAGCACCACTTGCAAGTTGTGGGGCTGCATTTCATTTTGGCAAATCATGCAAAGAGAAATGGCTATGCCATCCCTACCCTCTGCAAAATACTGACCGTATAAAGTGAGAAAAGTTGAAAAATGTATCTGATACTCTGGGGATGAAAATCCCAGTTGGCTCTGATTTTGTCACATGATAGCCAGAAATTTCACTGGACATCTGAAGCGTGGTGGTAACTTGTCCCCACCACCACCACCTCCTCCATCCAGCACAAGTGATAACAGATATATTACTAGCAGGATCTGGTCCTTCCTGTTTGTCTAAGACAGGAGTAATGAACCTTTTGCCCTCAGATGTTTTGGACTACAGTCTTCACAATCACTTGTAACTAGCTGGTTATACGGCTGGGGCTTCCAGGAGCTGGATGTCTAAAACATCTGGAAGGCCAAGGGTTCCTCAAGGATTATATTCTGTTTTGCTATCATTCTGCTTCCTGCTAACCTCCTCTTGTTCCCACACACTCATGGACAAAAGCTCCATGAAACAGAAGTGTTTAACTTGTGCTTACATTCATACTTCTGCAGAGGACATCTGTAAATGGAGCCAACTTCATTGCCATCATTGTTCTGTAAATCCCAGACCTTTACAAATAGTGTTTTCTGTGGCATGTTTTGCAATGAAGAGCTCTCCAGTATACCACATACTTCAGTTAAAGTGGTAATAATCCACTCCTTCTTTCAGTTCCAGGAGGTTCAAGTTTTCCTCAAACTGCCCTCCTGTCAGATCCTGCAGGAATGAAGAAACATCAATTAGTTAAAGATACCAGCAGCCATAGTAATTACTGTGTTTACATGCCAGACCTAGTTCATTACAATGACTTCCTCAACATCATGCTATACAGCATTTCTTCTTCAATTTCTGAAAAAATTGTCCGAGGATACCACTCTAACCTGGCCTGATCATGCTGCCCATATTACTTTTCCTTGTAAGACCTCTGTAAGGCCATGTTACTTCTGTAATAGTAGCACACTATGCTTGTATTCACTGTCAGTAACTAACATAATGACGAACTAAACTCAACATGGATGTGCAGATTCTTCTCTTAACACTGGGAACAGGAAATTCCACTATAACTGCTTGGCGACTGTTTTATCTCATCAGTAGAGAAGGTAAATTGATCTAAGTACAGTTGGCCCTTTGTATTAGTTGGATACAAATAACAAAAAATGCAGGAGCTCAAGTCCCATTGTTCCCAATGGCAACACGGCCACACTACCACAACCACGTGTATCTGCCACCACTGGGTTTAATGGGGCAGGGCTATCTGCGGATGTTCAAATCTCTGGATGGCAAGCCCACGGATGGCAAGAGCCAACTGTACTAGCGTTTGATGCATGCGGCTCATTTGCCACCTCCTGACTATGCATATTGAAAGTAGATTTATTGCCTATAGAGCAGAAAGTGAGCAAAGTCTTATAGCTTTTACTTATCTATGCAAAAGATTGTATTCGTCAAAATGACAAATGATCTGAGCAAAAAAATCTAAGGGTAGAAATGAAGGATCATTGTTCTGGATTAGTAGTTACCAGGTTTACTCTGTTCCCCGGTCTCTCCTGATGTTGGCACATGATAATGGTATAGTTAAAAGGTGCTGAACACAAGAGCATTCTTATGTATATCCATCCTCCAGCATTTCACAGGTGAAAACTATGACAAGTCGTTGGCCAAGTAACATTGGAATATGATCAAGATGGCAAAAATTAGGGAAAATGCACAAGCTAGCAGAGGTTGCAGCAGTATGCTTTTGCCTGAGCCTACATTTTAGGGCAAGACTCTGCTCCCTCCTCTCTTTCCTGCTGATTTAATTGAGTGCAAATTATTTTTGCACTTTGAACTCAGTTTGCAGCAACTGAGACAAAAAGAGAAGGTAGAAATAGGAGAGAGAAAATGGGACATTTTAAAAGTAGGTGGAGAAGTGGGATGATGGAAGACTAGCTGGGGATGTTTAGCCTGGAGAAGAGAAGGCTAAGAGGTGATATGATAGCTGTGTTTAAATATTTGAAGGGATGTCATATTGAGGAGGGAACAAGCTTGTTTTCTGCTGCTCCAGAGACTAGGACATAAAACAATGGATGCAAGCTGCAAGAAAAGAGATTCCACCTCAACATTAGGAGGAACTTCCTGACAGTAAGGGCGGTTCGAGAGTGGAACACACTCCCTCGGAGATTAGTGGAGTCTCCTTCCTTGGAGGTCTTTAAGCAGAGGCCGGATGGCTATCTGTCAGGGATGCTTTGATTGGGAGTTCCTGCATGGCAGGAGCTTGGACTGGATGGCCCTTGTGGTCTCTTCCAACTCTATGATTCTATGATTCTATGGTTCTATAATCTGGACTGTCCCTGTCAAATTGGGACAGGCATGTGTACTGCAAGAGAAGCTACCTAGTCTGGACTGAATTCACCACGTATGCTTCATTGAGTCAGGTAGGAGAAAGGAATGTTATCCTTATGGAAACTATGGTTTCATTTGATTTCCTACAAGCCTAACCCTGAGAGCCAGCATGGTATATTGGTAGGACACTGGGAAACCATGGTTTGAATCCCTATGCAGCAATGGAAACCTACTGGGTGGCTTTGGGCAAGTCACACTCTCAGCCTCAGAGGTTTGCCTTAGGGCAGTGATGGTGAACCTTTTAGAGGCCATGTGCCCAAACTCAGTGGTGTTCCTGCACGGACTTCTGGGGGGGACGGGGGACACTTCTCCCAGCTTTCCAGTGTGGGAGGAATGGTGAAACGGAGCACTCCTTTCCTTCACCCCTTCCACCCTGAAAGGTATTTCCAGGATGGGAGGGGTGGAGAAACGGAGTGCTCCTTCTCCCTTGCTCCTCCTGGCTTCTGCTATGACAGGCGCAATGGTGCGTGTGCCCTCAGAGACAGGGCTCTGCATTCCCTCTCAGGCATATGTGCCACAGGTTCGCCACCATGGCCGTAGGTCACCATAAGTCAGAAATGAATTGAAGGTACACAACAACAGCAAGCCTAAACTCATTGTGCTTGAACAGACTCACCAAGGGCCTTAAAATCTTCATTCTGAACAATGCTTATTGCTTTTGACCCTTGAACAGAATGACTTAGGAGACTCCCAGCTCTACAGAATAGGGAAAAGCACATGCCAAAAGCACATCTCGCCATAACCCAATAATATACGGATCCTGCACTCTCAAGCACATATAAGGTCAATGAGAGAGACAACTGAGAAATGGCAAGGAGATGGCCAATAGAAAACTTGATGATGTTGATTGCAATAATAATTGCACTAAATAGCACACGAAGTGGGTAAGAATTGAAGACAACTGGCAGAGAAATTGCTGAAGGAGTTAAAGATGGAGAGAATTGAGACATTGTCAAATGTGAGTTGCCAGTGAAAACTAAGTGGTCACGAGCTGTTCAGTCATGTAAATGGACCGACCTGAAATAAATCTCTAAATCCCTGACAGAAGCACTTCATTCTTCATTCATAAACGGTGTGCTGTGTTTCAAGCAACTTAAACAGAATACAGATGGCAGCTCAATGCATTAGTAATTTGGTGCATTTTGCATGATGAGCACCTTTTGCCTTGCAAAGTCTTTCATCAAGCAACTGGGCTATTAATTCTGCTTACAAGTGATGCCTATAAATGGTATTTATTGTATAAAGAGGAACATTGTGCCTACTCATCCATCCTGCCCCATGTAAAAGAATGAGCTACCCACCCACCCACAGTTCTGGCTGGCACATAAAACAGGTGACATCACTGTCAACTTCAGCATTTATGTTGAGCCTTTAATTTCAGAGCACTTTTAATTTATGTTTCCAGGAAGATTAGCTTCAAACAATACTCCATCATTTAGATTAGTGACAACAAAGAACATACTGCTTCTGTATATGAAGAAGAAAGTGCATATGTAACGCTTAGTACTGACGCACTGCTTCTACCCAGTGTTCAAAATGTTTCACCTGCTGTTTGTCAGTAATCTTTACAATAATTCCCCATAACAACTGTGTATTACTGTATTGAAAGCCAGCATAGTGTAATGGTTTGAGTGTTGGACTATGACTCTGAAGACCAAGGTTTGACTCCCTGTTTGGACATGGAAACCCACTGGTTGACCTTGGGTGAGCCACACACTCTCAGCCTCAGAAAACTCTGTGATACGTTTGCGTTAGGGTTACCATCATTCATAAATGATTTGAAGGCACACAACAACAACAACAGCAACCCTATTACTATAATTGAGGAGCTGGGACAGCTTGCCAGTAAGCTTGGGGTTGGACGAAGAGCTGGAAGAAAGATTTCTTGTCACTGTTGCACTGAACTCATCTGCTGCCTTGTACATGATACAATATTTAACTCCATTCTCTGATGGGGGATATCTTTGAGTTAGAAACGTATTGAAATTAAAACATTTTAACTTTAAAAAAACTCTACACCAACAACAAACAAACCTGTGGGCTTTCAGGAACCTAACAGGACAAGATGTTAAGACTGAGAAGCATTGATCTCACTGGAGGAGAATTAGCCAGATACACACTGAACTCAAAAAAAGGCATAAAGGAATCCAGCAGCACTTCTAAAACTAACTGGGGGAAAATAAACTTCTAGCATATGGTTTGTGGACACAGCCTCCTTCATCAGATGCTACCAAAACCAGGAATGCCTCCCTTTGTTGTTAGCCCTTGGGTTTAGGGGTAGGAGGAGGACACCATGGTGCTGCCCAGTCGCAGAGAGGTTACAGTTGTGGATGCCTTCATTGTTTTCTCTGGGTATGAATGAGAGGGGGAATGGGCAGGAACAACTTGATGCTGGACAAATGGTATGAACAGTAAGGAAGCCTGTGGCTGATGAACGCTTGAGTCATGGGATACTGGAAGGGATGAGGGAGCAAAGAAAACACAATTGAAAAAAAGGGGAAGGATATTGATCTACTGGAGCTTCTAAGTTGTGTTCTGAGGAATGTAGTATGGCCAAAGCAATCTGTGAATGAGGTTGTGGTGGCTGTGTTTTTCAAAAAATACCCCTTCCTATTATTCCCCCCACCCCCCAACAAAGAGCAGTGAAGCAAACTTTCTAATATGAAAGAGGGAATGGGGGGAAAGCAGCCTTTGTGAGTCCCAAGCAGGACACCAAGGCCTCTGTCCTGACTTCCTCTTAGGAATTGGCAATGCACTGGAACATTTAAGGGGGTGCACTGCACAGAACATTTTTAAGGCCAAGACTCTTCATTCTAAAATCCTAATAAATATGGAAGTTCCACTGAAGTCAATGAATCATATTGTACATACATTGAAATCTATACAGAAGTGAGATCTTATTTTTGTTGGGAGATCTATGAATTTTTACCATGTAGATACTTATATACTCAAGCATCACACTATGGATGTAAGTAAAGCAATGCTTCCAACCACCAACCTTCTGAATCACGCAGGAATTGCAAGAAACTGTATCGCTACCAGCAGCAGCACATCTCCTCTCTTATGAAGCTCTTTATATATTTATGAGATTCAAGGCTGGTCTGAATGTCCTCTAAGGGATCATTCTAACCTAGATAATCTAACTATAAAAGCTTGTGGAATTTCATAAAAGAAAAACTGGTCTAGCTATGTCCTTTTTGGACAGGCTTTCATGTTAACTGAATGGTCCTCAGCTGCTACCTTTGTGAATAAACCAAAAAGGCAAGAGCATCAAGCAGCTTTTGGTTCTTCACGTGTCCAAGGGAAGGGGGCAAACTACCCCCATAGTTCTGAAGAGACAGATTAGAATCAGAAAATCATAGATTTGGAAGAGGCCACCTCTGCCATGCGGGAAAACGCAATCAAAGCATCCCTAAGAGATGGCCATAACCTCCATAGAAGGAGACTCCACCACTCTCCGAAGCAGTATATTCCACTGCTGACTAGCTCTTACTAGTCAGGATGTTACTGTTACTTCCTAATACTGAGGTAGAACCTCAGTTTAGACTGAGGAAGCCACACGCAGCAAGTGAGGGAGCTAAATCTCTCTCTCCATCTAATTCCAAGAAACTTTGTATTGGTGCTGTCAGTAATGGACTGAATAAGGGAAAATAAATTGAAGCTTAATCCAGACAGGACAGAGGCACTCCTAGTTAGTTAAGAGACACATCAGAAAATAGGGACTCAGCCTCAGCTCAGTTCATTTGCCCTGGAGACAAAATGTTTGTGGTCTGGGTGTACTCCTGGATTCACCCCTGTGCCTGAAGGACCAGTTTTCAGCAGTGGAAAGGAGTATATTTGTACAGTTAAAGCTGGTTCATCAGCTGTGCCTGTTCCTGGAAATGGCTGATCTGGCCATGGTGACACATAGCTTGGTTATACCCTATTTGGATTACTGTAATGCACTCTACATGTGGCTGCCTTTGAAGAGTGTTCAGAAACATCAGCTGGCCCAAAGAGGTATTACAAGTTGAAGTGCTAGAGCCCCAAAAACGTTGCCAACTGGAAAACTGTGTTATGTCTAACACTAAAGCAGAAACAGAACTGAACAAGTAGTGTGTCTGAGGACTGTGTACTTTTTTACCTGAATCTGATCAAACACAAAGAATATCAAAGCTCAGTGGTAGTGCAGGCTCAAGCTGGATTAACAGAAAATATATACTTTTTTTTCCCACAAGACTTTACAGAAAAGCACACAATGGCATGCAAGGACCAACATTCTTTGCTTGATCCAGTTGATGCCTTTTGCATCCACATGCTTTTGCATTGAAATTCCCAGCAGGGAGCAAACTGGGCAGTTATTTCTTATTCCCAAGTAAGACTTTCAAGAGAATGCCAAAACAAGCTAGCCAGGAGCTGCTTGCTGGAGGAAAGGTGCACTCCACAGCTGGCAAATACAGCAGTTCCACCCCTGAGTTTTAAGTCTGTCCAAAGCAAACAGCCAAGCGTTTCCAGCCACGCAAAGCTAAAGAAAAGCCTGCCTCTTACATCCTCACACATCATCTCCTATGACAGACCAATTATTTCAGACAGAGAAGGTCTGCAGAATACGGATACTTGTTCCTGGAAAGTTTGTCAGAAGAGCCAGACTCCTACTAAAATCCCTAATGCTAATTCCATCCTCCACACAGAAACCATGAGGTTTTTCCTGACTGAAAAGTCAGGTGCCCAAGATGGCCTCTTCTCCAATGACTGCCATCACTGTATATTATGTGTCAGTATTCACAGGGATAGATCCCATGCAATTGGTGAGTGACATTCAAATGGCATCATTTGACAGTCTTCACATGGTGAGTGCAGCACCTGAATTGGCCTGGCAGTTGGGAGGATCAATTACATGCTCAATACTATACAATTAGCAAAACAAGGCCTCTCTTCTTTAGTCTCAATGTTGCATTAACTATTTCTGTGAACTTCTCCTACTCAGTGTACCTTTTTATCATGTGAGTTATCTGGCTGATGAACAATAAGGAAGTATCTACTCATGACATGATTTAATGGTCTAGCATCATTTAAAGCCCCCAAATATATGTGGGGTAAAAATCCTGCTTGCTTTCATACTGCAAGTGACTGGGCAGTATGTAGCCTACAGCGTTCAGATGTATTTATTTAATATCCTGCCTTACACCTAAGGTGGGACCCTAGGTTCCATAATGACCAAAAACATTACTTGTGGTGGCAAGTGCAGTAGTGCCTCTTAAGACATTCTAATTCACAAACAGGATGCCAGCCTAGAATTGGCTAGAATCTTGTTAAGATGTGGTTATTCCAACTTATGTAACAAGGGGAGGGATGCCAAAGCAAGTGTCCAATATATCTTTGTATGACAGCAACTGGGGTGGACTGCCAGACTCACCTCTGTCCCTCTGGCCATTGATCAGCTGCAAATCAGAATCATGGAGTTAGAAGAAATCCCAAGGGTCATCTGGTCCAACACCAGAATAAGAAATCAAAGCACTCCTGACATCTGGCCATCCAGCCTCTGTTTAAAAACCTCCAAAGGAGGAGACTCCATCACTTTCCAAGGCAGCATGTCACACTATCCAAAGGCTCTTACTATCAGGACTTTCTTCCTAATGTTTAGGTGGAATCTCTTTTCCTCTAGTTTGAATCCACTGCTCCTTGTTCTAATCTCTGGAACAGCAAAAAACAAGTTTGTTTCATCCTCAATTGTTTCAATATGACACCCCTTCAAATATTTTAATATGGTTATCATGTGACCCCTTTACTTTCTCTTCCCCAGGCTCATAGGTCATGGTCCCGACTTTCACCATTTTGGTTGCCCTCCTCTGGACACACTCCAGAGTTGTTGTCCTTGAATACCCAGGAAGGAAGGAGCAGCATTGTGCAGAAGTCTGAGGCAGCTCCCTCTCCTCCAGAACAACTTGATACACCT